TGCTCCCGCAGGACTGCTCGGGCCCAGAAAGTCCGCTGGAGTCAAACTGTGGTGGAGTGTCAGTTTCTCTCACTCACCTCGCCACAAGTCAGAACATGCCTCCCTGCCCGTCCTGTTTTCGACTCCGTTTGCAGACTCACGTTCTCAGAGTTTCCGCGCGTCTCTCTCCTTGCCGAGCTGATGTAGATGTAGCCGCCGCGCGGCGGAAACCCAAATCGCGGCTTCCAATGGCGCAGGGTCCAGCCTCAGCAGCGAGACTTTTCTGTTCCTGTTTTAGCACCAGGACTGCATTCCAAGTTGGTTTCTCTCAGCCCAGTTCGTTCCTGAGTCAGCAGAGCAGAACTCCACCTGCTTATGTCTCTTTAGTCCGCACCATTCCTGGCTTCTGAGCCTAGTTTTTCAGAGAGCCTCTGGTAGTTGCTGTTATCTGTCCGCCATGTTCTCCTGGAAGTCTGAATAGATCTATTTGTGACATAGGAGTATTGAGATCCCCCAATACAATTGTATTAGTGCTTATTTGATTTTTCATGTCCGTTAGTATTTTACATGGCTGGGTATGCTGGTGTTGCTTATAAATATTTATTATTGTTATCTCTTTCTCTTGGATCATTCCCTTTACAAGGATGTAGTGACCTTCTTTATCTCTCTTAATGAGTATTGGCTTGAAATTCACTTTGTCTGCAAATAGAAGAGCTACTTTTTTTTTCCTGGGTTCCTGTTGCATAGAGTATTGATTTTCATCCTTTGAGTTTCAGTTTATGAGTTTCTTTTTCAACTAAATGTGTTTCATATACACAGCATATTGTTGAATCTTGCTTCTTGATCCATTCTGTCAGTCTGTGTCTTTTGATTGGTGAATTGAGACCATTAACATTGATGGTTATAACTGATATATATTGACTTATCCTTGTTATGTGACTTTCCTGTTGTTGGCTTCTCCCTCTTTATTTTTCCCTTTGTTTGCCTTGATTGTTGGGTTCCTTCTCTTGGTGTTCATAGAGTTGTGATCATCGTTATCTCTTTCTAGAATGTCCTTCAGAAGATTTTTGAGTGCTACTTTGGTGGTTATAAATTTCTTCAGATGTTCTTTGTTGTGGAAGTATGTTTTTTTTTTTTTTTTTTTTTTTTGAGATGGGGTCTTGCTATGCAGTTCAGGCTGGCCTTGCGCTCACTTTGTAGCCCAGGCTGGTCTCGAACTCGAAAGGATCCTCCCACCTCAGCCTCCTGAGAGCTGGGCAGGCATGAGCCACCACGCCTGTTGAAGTTATTTTATTTTTCCATGAGATTCGAAAGATAGTTTTGCAGGGTACATCAATGTGGGTTGAAGGTTATTTCTTTTAGAACTTGACATACTTCATTGCAAACTCTTCTTGACTTGTGTGTTTGTGCAGAGAAGTCAGTTGTGATTCTGATAGGCTTTCCTTTATAGGTGATTTGTTTTCTTTTCCCTAACAGCTTTTCTTGTGTTCAGTTTCTGGAATCTTGACTGTGATATGCCTGGCTGTAGATTTTGTTTTTTTTGATCATGACTAATTGGAGTTATATCTGCCTCACTTATTTGCATGTCAAATTCTTTTTCTCTACCAGGGAGATTTTCTGCCATCATGTCTGTGAAGTTTTTTACATCATTTGTGATATCTCCTGCTTTTTCATTGACTCCAATTAACCTTAAGTTATTCTTCATTATCCAGCAGCTGCTGGATTGATTTCTCATGGTTCCTTGCTATTTTTGGGAAGCCTGTCTTCTATATCATTGACTTACTCTGCTGTGAATACTTTATTTATTTATTTTTTGTCTTTTTGAGACAGGGTCTCACTATGCAGTTGAGGCTGGCCTTGAGCTCACTTTGTAGCCAGGCTGGTCTCAAACCTGAAATGATCCTCATGCCTCAGCCTCCTTAGTGCTGGGATTACAGGCGTGAGCTACCACGCCCGGCTTTTTGCTGTAAATGCTTTCCATGGAATTTTCATTCTCCTGGATGTCTGCAGGAGTCTGACTTACGGATTCCATTTCTTTCCTATGCTGAGCATGCATGGCTTCTGTAATTTTTTTAAAGTTGTCTGTTTTTTAAATGTGTATCTGCTCTAGCATCACTAAACATGGTCTCTATGTTGGACACCATCTCTGCAGTTATCTGAGAGATTATTTCTGAATTGATCTTTTTTGGGAGCCTCAGTCAACTGCTTACTTGTTGTCACTTCACAAAGGTCAGATAGGGGCTTGCAGAATGTCCCACCTCACTACACCTTGAGTTTGCCTTTGGTGAACTGGATGTCTGGGTTTGCATGTTGCTTCAGTGTCTTCTGATTTTCTTTTATTTCTTTATTTCTTTTAGTTTAATTACTGCATTTGTAAATTGCCTATGGTGGGTTGCTTTATTGCTGGTATTTAGAACCCTTAGGAAATGACTACTTCTCAGAGGGGTCTTCTAGGTGTAGCTGGTTTTTGGGTGTTTGAATCTGTTGGAAGATCGTACCTATTCAGTTTGTTGGGGATGAGAATTTGCTGCCTGTTTCACCTTGGTTCTTTGGCACTGGCCCACAGTATTTTCTGTGACCTTTGACAATCTCAGTTCTTGGTATACCAGGAAGAACAGCTGTTTAGAATAGTTATGTCACTTGGGTACAGTTAGCAGTGACAACAGCATCAAACACAGTGTACAAAATGAGAAACTGCAGTAACCATTAATTTGCCACCTTTAATGATACGAATTAGATTTGTGGTTATATAACAAAATCTAAAACAAACCAGAATTGTATGTAGAAAAGGGATGCAGATTTTACTTTCAGTGGAGAAAATTTAAAAGGGGTTAGAGGAAAAAAATGGAAAAATAAAAGAAGAGGAAGCAATTAAAAGCAAGGCTGGAGAACAGAAGATCACATGAACTTTAGAAAACTGGTGCAGAAGACAGGAGTGAAAGAGAGAGTGGAGAACTAAAAGGAAATACAGAACAAACAGTCACCACAAAGAAACTAGAGACCACATTCACATGCTTATAAAAATGGCACCAAACAAGGAGAAAAAAGAATAGAGAACAGGAAAGAAAAATAATCTCCCCTTCCAGGTTTGTCTCTGCTGTCACTGGTAGACAATGTGTGGAGACAGAGTCCAGGTTCATGCTGACTTATCCCAGCAAGCCTGCAGTCGGTTTATGGTGAGGTAGTGGATAATCTCAGCAAGGCTGCACCTTTATTCCCCTGAAGTTCACGATGGTTTCTGGCCATGAGGCAGGGACCAGGCCCGTTCCACTGTAGTCAGTGCACCTTCTGTGGGAGTGAACTCAGCTGGGAGCAGCTGGATGGAGCCAGCAGCTGCTCTTGAGTTCTGCACCCCTTGACCCCTTTCCAAGACTGCCCTGTCCCCTGGGGCATCCAGTTCCACAGCACTCACTCCAGCCAGCGCAGTCCCTATGTACCCTGCTCCTCTTTGTAGCAGCCTCTGTGGCCACCAGCAAAGTTGACTGCTCCTGCCACTCAGTGAGCCCTTCAGGGGCCTTGATCTTCGTCCTTCGCTGAAGTTTCTCTTTTTGCTCTCCCAAGGGGTTCAGTGCTTGCTCCAGGTCCTCCATGGGTCCTGGGGACCACTTCCCTCCTGCTGGTCCTCTCATTGCCGTATTCCAGTGTCTAGGCAGCAGCCGGCAGAGACCTTTCCTTTGCTGCTTAGCATTCCATTTTCATAAATGCTCATCACAAAATGCAAATTCCTGAAAAAGGGCCGAGTGTGAGGGCCTCAGGTTCCGTCCCCAGTACTGAAAAGGATGTGAAGATGCTTTTCTGCCTGAGCAGAGATTGCTGCATGAGAGCTACCCTGGTCCTTGCTCTTGGTGGCCCCAGAGTTCTGGTCTGTACTTCTCTACATGTTTGTGGTTGCCTCTCTCTGAGCTGACCCCTGGGGCATCCTCAAAACAGCCGTCCCCTCCCTCAGCCTCTCAGCTGGTGCCTGCACAGGCTGGCCTCTGCCTGTACTTCCTAGGGACCTGCCTTAGCCTGGTTGACTGAGGCACCCCTGTGAGCTGGTTCCCAGGCCTGGGGGGATGGGACGTACTACAGTAAAGGGATGCAGGCGTTTTCCCTCAGTGCCACTGTGTGCTCCTCCTCCTTTTTTTCATCCTTTGTGTGTGTGTGTAGTGCTGGGAATTGAACCCAGGGCCTCTGCACAAGGTCACTGAGCTGCTCAGGCTGGGCTTGAACTTTCAGTCACACTGTCTCAGTACCCCAGGATGCTGGAGTACAAGCCTGTGTGACCACACCCAGCCACCCAGTAAGCTTCTGAATAACTGCAACCTCCAACATAGCTTACCATCTGACAGGTGTCAGCTGAGCCGGGGTGTCAGTGCGGCCGAGGTGGAGAGACCCTGTCTGGGGGTGTGTGGCTGCTGGCTCACCGGAGTAAGTGACACCCCGAGGAAGCCTTTCTTACAGGTGTGGGTGCTGTGTTTTACACTGTCCTCTCTCAGATTGTCCCCTTTCAGCAGAGGGAGCAGCTCCCTAGGGATGGGCAGCGCGGCTGCATTGTGTGACTTGGCTGTCTACATCAGGGGACAGAATTCAGTTGCTGCACCGCATCGAGCACATTAAACATGCTGCTTTCCCTGACTGTCCCCGCACACGGCTTTGTCTTGGACTGAGTGGCACTTGAGTTGCTTGGTCTGCTACTCTGCACATGGCTGTGGCCTGACTGGCTTTCCTGCTTCCTGTGCGGAGTGAGTGCTGGCAGCGTGACATGTGAGCCCTCGGTTGCATGGAAGGTCACGTTGCCAAGAGCAGGTCATTCCCAGGCCCAGTGCCCTGGCAGAAGCCCCAAGGAGGGAAGGAAGGCCTTTGTCTCTCTTCACCTGTGGTGCACACCTGAAGCCCCAGCCTTCAGGGTGGCAGGTTCAGCCCAACCTGAACGACTGTGCCAGATAATGTCTCAAAAGGAAAAACAGGCTGGGGTATGACCCAGTACAAGGGCCTTGGGTTCAACTCTTCAGTGCCACAAAAAAATTTCCATTTTCTAGGGTGTCCTGTGCCCACACCCGAGCTGATCCAGCAGCTGGAGCATGGGCAGCCGCCATGGACACTGAGCCTGGGTGTCCAAAGCACACAGCCAGGTAGGAGCCTGTGAGGGTCACCCTGGAGTCGCGGGATTGTTTTCTCCTGTTTTGTTTTGTTTTGCTTTGCTTTACTGAGCCGCTGAGGACTGAGCCTGGGCCTTCATTCTGAGCTATTTTGAGATAGGGTCTCAATATGTCACCAACTTGTCCAGGCTGGGCTTTAGTTTGCAGTCGTCCTGCCTCAGCCTCCCAGAGAGCTGGGATGACAGATGTGCACCACCACACCCACCCTGGGGATAGTGGAGCCGTGCAGCCCTTTGTCCTACACCTCCTCTGATCTCCCAGCCCCAGCACACCCATCCCTGCTCCTGAGGAGCAACTGTCTCCAGGATCGCAGGGGCCCAGCACAGGAAAGCAGTGTTTCTCTCTTGTCCCGAGGTCTGGGGTCGATGAGGAGCTCTGTTTCTTGGGGACGGGACCTTTGTCCTGAACCTTACTTAAAGGTTGTCCCACCAGCGTGCATCTCAGGACTGTGCACCCGGTGGTGACATCTTTGTCTCCAAGGCTGCAGGCCCTACCCCCAACCCCAGCAGCAATCCCTGTGGCCTAGAGGGATCAGCTTCGTCAGGCCCAGCTCTGCCAGTTCTGCTGATACCAACTCCAAGCTGAGTACTTCTTAGGGCACCTTTGGGTTCTCTGAGCCCTTGGAAAGCCTCACTTGGCCCAGGCTGCAGCACATAGTGCTGTCAGGTGATGCCGGGAGGAATTGGGCAGTATGAGCTGGACAGTCCCGGCAAGCAGGCAGCCATGGCTAGCCTCAGGTTTATTCCTGTCCAGGCAGCCTGAGCAGGAGACTCCCAGGGCCGAGGGGCCTGGGATTCTCTGGAAGCTCACTGCACATGGACTCTTGACTGAGTGGTTCGTGGACCATGAGGCTCAGGGTTGGCCGCTCCTTCCTACACCACACACCCAGCGCAGGTGTCTCCTCTGTAGCTCAGACTGGCTTGGGCTGTGCGGCTTTTTGGGGGTCCTGACCTTCCCAACTTCCTCTGCACAGTAAGTTGTTTAGCCAGGCACTGAGGCTGAGGCAGGAGGATTGCCGTAAGTACCAGGCCACCAGGCTACATAGTAAATTCAAGGGCAGCTTGAATTACAGAGCAATACTCTGCCTCCAAAAAAAGTAATAATTTGTTTAGAAGCCAATAATGGTATCAGCTTGCATAATTGATCAGTTTTGATCCTAAGAACCCACCATGAATTAAACAAAATTCTGAAAATACCCAGGAGTGAGAGATTGCTTCTTGTGTTGTTGAACAAAAGCTGGCTGGAGTTTTTTGTGGTTAGTGGTTTTGTTTTTTTTTTTTTTTTTTTTTGGTACCAGGGATCAAACTCACAACCATGTACTTGCAAGGCAGGTGCTTATGCTGCTGAGCTACATTCCCGGCCCTGGTTTGGTTTTTGTAGTATTGGGGATTTAGCTCCATCTGTGGCCCCTTTTTCTTTGATTTTGAGGCGGGATCTCATCAAGGTACCAGGCTGGCCTGGACCTTGGCTCCTGCTGCCTTAGCCTCCAGGGGAGCTGGTATTTTAGCTGTGGCCACCCTCCAACACCCTGGCTGCACCTTGCTGGTGCCAGGATTACAGGCCTGCCCACCTGGCCTGGCCCCCGAGCAGCTATCCGTGTTGCCCAGTTTCTGTCTCCCTGTGGGTGGTGTTAGGTGCCCTCTAGACTGCTCCAGCTGGCATTGCAGAGGATGCTTGCCACACAGTGTCGCCAGTGCTCCAGGTAGCCATATCCCCATGGACTCCTACTGCAGCACGGCCTCCCTCCTTCGCTCTCTTCCAGGGTGTTTGGAGTCCAGGGATCAGGAAAGCTTAAGAACTTTCAGAGACAGTGTAACATGCCTGGTGCTAATGTTTTCAGCTGCTGCTTTTTCCCACTAAAGTAGTGTTTGTCTTTCTTCTGGGTTGCCATTACTAATGGCCCTACTGTGTGTTGGATTTCTTCCAGGTGACAGTGGGAAAACGCTGGAGCCAGCCTTGTGCGAGGGAGCCCGCCTTCAGGGCCAGTTGATGCTCAGAGCCTCCCGGGCCTCCCCATGGATGCAAGGCCTGGGTCAGGGTGGCCCCTCAGACAGGCAGGAAGGACGTGTGAGAGCAGGGGCACAGGCCCCGAGGGAGGAGCTTTCTGGGAGGACACACCCAGGCCCCAGTGGCTCAGGGACGGGTGACATAGTGTGTCTGAGGACCGTAGGGGAGCAGATTGCTGCGGGGGACCCTGTGCTGGAAAAGGTGCAGGCTTTCAAGTGCAGCAAGTGTGGGAAGGTGTTCAACAAGAAACACCTGCTCGCTGGCCACGAGAAGATCCACTCCGGGGTGAAGCCCTACGAGTGCACCGAGTGCGGAAAGACCTTCATCAAGAGCACGCACCTGCTGCAGCACCAGATGATCCACACCGGGGAGCGGCCGTACGAGTGCCTGCAGTGTGGCAAGGCCTTCAACCGCAGGGCCTACCTCACGCAGCACCAACGCATCCACAGTGGGGAGAAGCCCTACACCTGTGGCCAGTGTGGCAAGGCCTTCACGCACCGCTCCAATTTTGTCCTGCACAGCCGGCGACACAGTGGGGAGAGGGCCTTCACGTGCACAGAGTGTGGGCAGGTCTTCCGCCACCGGGGCGGCTTCCTCAGGCACCACGCGGTGCACGGTGGCCAGAGCCCCTACGAGTGCTCCGAGTGCGGCCAGGCCTTCAGGCACAGGTCGAAGCTGCTATGGCACCAGCAAGGCCACACAGGGAAGAAGCCCTACGAGTGCCGCGAGTGCGGGAAGGTATTCCTGGAGAGCACAGCACTGATCCACCACGGTGTCACCCATTCGGGCGAGAAGCCCTTCGAGTGCCTGCAGTGCAGCAAGGCCTTCAACCACAGGTCCTACCTCCGGAGGCACCAGCGCATCCATACTGGGGAGAAGCCCTATGTGTGCAGTGAGTGTGGCAAGGCCTTCACCCACTGCTCCACCTTCATCTTGCACAAGAGGGCCCACACGGGCGAGAAGCCCTTCAAGTGCAAAGAGTGCGGCAAAGCCTTCAGCAACCGGAAGGACCTCATCCGTCACTTCAGCATCCACACCGGGGAGAAGCCCTATGAGTGCACGGAGTGTGGCAAGGCCTTCAACCGCAGGTCCGGCCTCACTCGGCACCAACGCATCCACAGCGGGGAGAAGCCCTACGAGTGTGCAGAGTGTGGTAAGGCCTTCTGCTGGAGCACAAACCTCATCCGCCACGCCATTATCCACACGGGGGAGAAGCCCTACAAGTGCGCCGAGTGCGGGAAGGCCTTCAGCCGCAGCTCTTCGCTCACACAGCACCAGCGGATGCACGCGGGGAGAAACCCCACCGCCACTGTGGAGCGGGGAGAGCCTTTCACAGGCATCCATGCCTCAGTGACGCTCCGGGAGCTGCTTATGGAGAGCGACTTGATGAATGTGACCACTGGGGGCAGTCTCTCAACAGAGCACAGCTCATCCTCAGCTCCCACTGCCTCACATCAAAGGGCTGCCCAGTCTGTGTCTTCACTGTGAGCCAATCTGCTGCACACAGGAGTCAGCAGAGCTGGGCCCCACTCAGAGTCTTATTCTCTTAGGACCCATCCAGGAGAGACCCCTCAGGGAAGTCCCTGCTGCACTTTCTCCGTAGTTCACAGTACAATGCTATCTCAGGAATTACCCTTGAAAGGAGATGTGGGGGGAAATGAAACAGAAGCACAGATCTTCTCAGGCTGTGTTGACTGCATCTGACTTGGTCATTGCTTTGTCCACACGGGTGAGGGGAGCAATGTCCCCAGGGGCAGGGTCCCAGCGTGTCCTGCATGCACGTCCACTGCTGCCTAGCAGCGAGTCTGCTGCAAGAGCTGCTGTTTCATAATGTAAGCGGGCTTGAGCCATGAAGTGTCTCTGTATTTAAGGCAATAAAGATATGCATCATGGGTGCATTTTACTGGTCAATTAAGACTACTTAAATTGACTTAGAAAAGTCTTTCACATTGTTTTAAAAACTGCACAGAAACATTTCTTAGTCTACTATTCATTGCTGTAACTAACATGATAAATGTCTAAAATGAGTCAAGGAATTTTCTTGGTTAACACTTACTTAACATTGCTTCCTTTAACTTCCCACATAAACTTTCAGCTAACTTTTTTGTCTGTGTTTACAAAAACATCTTCATAGACTTTTCCAGTTGCTGTTTTTACTCTGTCAGACCTTTCAGTTCACAGATGTGGTATATCTTCGTTTAATCATTTAAATTTACTCTACTGTATTTCATTAGGTCTTTGTAATTTAAGTTGCACAAGGTGGGTTTGAATTTTCACTCTTTGTGCCTCAGCCTCCCAGAGTGCTAGGATCACAGGCAAGCACCCCGGTGCTTGGCAAATGCAAATGGCCTTGTGTTTACGGTGTTAGTGTGTTTGTGGCTGGTATTGGTGTATACGTACACTTCCTCTTGCTCCCTGGTATTTGGTACTGTGTAGAAAGCATGTTTTGATGTCCTGTGACCTTGCTGAACTGCGTGTGATTTCTGGCCTTTTCTCTTGGTGGAAGCCTTGTACACGTCTGGAAGCACAGTTTTACTTCTTGTGAACACCTTTGATTTCATGCAGGCGAGGGCTCTGCAACGCTGAGCCGTCTCTGCTTGGTTCTCGATGCTAGGAGAACCCTCCGTTTTTCCCCATGAAGTGTAAAAGTTACTGCCAGGATGGAGCGACACACACACCCATTGCCAGCATTGTACCCGGAGTCCCTGGGGTGCTGGACAGCTGCTCTGTGGCCCTGAGGTTCATGGATGCTTCTCAAGCACAGAATGCTTCTCTCCATCCTGCCGGCAGTGACTGCGCCCCTGTGCGCCAATGCTGGGTTTCCAGTGCTAGGATCATGTGAGTTTCCTTCTGTAGCTAATTGGTAGCTGCCTTATGTGACAGCTGTGAAATACCCAGCCAGCCTGTGCCCTTAGAATGAGCTGCAGTCGTGGGCAATGGTGGTTGTATATTGCAGGGCATCATTCTGTTGGCTTATGTTTTATTGAGGCGTTGAGTCTCTTTCTGCTTCTTCCCACCTCTTAATGTTTCCACAGATGATAGTTTCTCCCTCTCTTTTTCCTTTTGTGCTAAGAATTGAATGCGGTGCACTGAGCTACGTCCCCAGCCCCTGTTCTCTTTTGAGCCAGATACTTGCTAAATTGCCCAGGCTGGGCTTGGACTTGAACTTGGAATCTTCTTACCTCAGCCCCCCAGTGATGGGATTTCAGGTGGTAGTGATCACCTCCTCCTTCTGTTTGTTTGCTTGTTTTGCTTTAAATTTGTGGGGGAAGGCTTGAGTTTTTTATAGTCTAGGGGACTGAATCAAGGCCTTACATGCTCAAAGTAAGGCAAGCACTCTGCCACTGAACTTCCTCTGGGCTTTTTTGTTAGTGCTGTCATGTTTGTTCTATAGGTTTCATGTCTATGTGCTTTTGGTCTCCCAACATGAGTTGTAAAACCTACCCCTCTGGGTTTTGGAAGACTGTAGGTGTAATTAGGATATTTCTGTTTTTGTAATGTTGGTAGCATTCTGTAGCAAGCCACTGGGCCTGGAGGTTGGTTGGTTGGTTGGTTTTAGGTATTAAAATTTTTTTTCATTAGAATTGAATGCAAGGCCTTCACAGTGACCTTTATCTCCACCTCTCCTCTTTTTGTTTGTCTTTTTGAGGTAAGGTCTTAACAATATTGGCCAGGCTAAGCTTGTTTTTATGTATGTATGTATGTATGTATGTATGTATATATATGTATTTTTAAGTGGTTCTTTTTTAAAATTTTATTTTGAAAGTAGTAAAAATACAACAGCATAAGACAGAACAAAGCCAGTTGAGACACTGCAGTGAAATTGGTATAGAATTTCACAGTAGGATACTGGGATGGTAGTAATAGGTACTATATGGTACGTCTTGTTAACTTCACAATAGTTGTCCAGTCAATTAGGTATAGCCAAAAACAACATTATAAAACCAACTGAGAGTATTGAATAGAGCAAAAGAAACATAACAAAACAAAACTGTGAAAATAACCTTTGCCTTCAAACAGAAGATAGAAGAAAATCCCCCATGTTTGCTATAGTGCATATGATCATTCTCCCAAGAGATGCTGAGACACCTATCCCCAGTAGCTATGGGGGAAAGGGGGTTGATTCTCAGCCCGTGCTGGTAGGCTCACAGGAGTCACTGGTTCTCCTCCTGGCCTGCACCAGGGGCGCTTACCAAGAGGGCGGAAGAATAAGCTATCTAAGTCCCACCGTGGCCTCATCTCAGGAGTGTTCCATTTATTTTTTTGAGGCAGACTCTTGCTGAGTGGTTTAGGCTGGCCTTGAACTCCATGTAACAGTCCTGCCTCAGCCTCCATAGTGCTAGGATTACAAGAGTGTACTACCATGCTTGCCTTATTTTATATTATTATTTTTTAATTTTTATTATTGAGTTCTCTAGCAGAGTCAGATAGCTGAGGAATGTGCATGAGAAAGGTGCTTGGTCATTGGGTTATGACTGTAGCTAAGGGCAGACTCAATCTCTTTTATCCTGATGTCCTGTCACGATGTGTCTTCTGTCACTGCTTCATCTTCATGCCTCATGATTGTTTACTTCACCAGAAGATGGGAGCCGGCTCTTCCACTCTGTGACCTGGAAGCTTGGAGACAGAATCTTTTCACCTGGTAGTTTCTACACAAGTTGGCAGTCTTTCTCTTCCAAGGTTTGTCCCTGCAGAGGCTGCAGAACCTTGCTGCAGTGAGAGCTTCATGACTTTTGGGCCATGGCACTTTGAAGAAAGGGGAAAGTCCTCTCTGCATCTTTGGAGGTCTGTGCTCCATTGTGTGAAGCAGACTGATTCCTCAGCTTACACCTGGTCAACAGCAGGCCCTCTGCAGCTGGGCTGCTCACGGCGGCATTGGGTGTCTTCCCTGGGAATGTCCATGCCACTTTGTTTTTCTTTTTTGTCTTTTTGAGACAATCTCACTATGCAGTTCAGGCTGGCCTTGAACTCACTTAGTAGGGAGGGCTGGTCTTGAACTCAACGATCCTCCTGCCTCAGCCTCCCAAGTACTAGGATTACAAGAGTGCATCACTATGCCTGGTTTAATGTCCATGCCCTCTTAACTGGCAGACAAATGGCTTCTCCAAGTGTGCCTTGTGGTTCCTGGGTCTCCACGTCAGCGCTTTGATGGCTTTTATAGCAGTACTTCTGATGGCAGCCCCATTTCGGTTTCCTAAGTCACCCGCAGTGTCCATAGCAACGACTGCAGCTGGACGTGGTGGCCAGACAGGAGTGAAGCATAGTTCAGTCTTAGCCTTGAGATCTTCCTCCCTCAGCCTCCCTGAGTGCCGGCACACCCAGCTCCTGGTATTTAGATTTCTGATTTGTTTCACACAGAATCTGTTTCAAGTTTGACTTTAAGTGACCCGGGATATGGTCTTACTCTGCACTGCTGCCCAAAAGGTGTGCCTGCCCCATCGTGCTGTGGGGCATCTGCTGGTGTCCATGTTCTGTGGTTGATGGTGTTACTCAGACACTGAATGTTTGCTCAGTCAGTCTAGTATTTTCTCATAAACCTTTTTATTCAAATTTACTTATTTATTTTTGAGGCAGGGTCTCTATGCAGTTCAGCCAACCTTGAACTCACCATGAAGCCCAGGCTGGCCTCAGACTCGAAGTGATCCTCCTGTCTCAGCCTTCTGAGTGCTGGGATTACAGGCGTGCACCTGCACACCTGGCTGTCAAACCTCTGTGGAGAGTACCTTTTTTTCAACTTGGTTGAGGATTTTAAATCAAATACAGTGGTCCCTCAGTTAATGAACTAAATCCGTTCCACAGTTCTGGGGAAGGTGGCCAAGGTCGAGTTCTTTACCTGAAGTAGTATTTGCAAACAGAAGCAAGATTTTGCTGAATGTGGCTGTTCCTGAACCAAATTATTCACCAACAGAAGTTTTTGTGAACTCCAGGTATTGCTGTCCTAAAGCTTGCATTTTTCCAGCTTGTCTTTGTTTAAACCTCTACTTCTGGTATTTTCATGGTCCAGAATGCTGGTCCATTCTCCCTCACCACCTGAAGACCCCCTTCCCATTTGCCTGCAGTCTGGCTCAGACCAGTGAGCCTCCTTCCCCCCAGCTGCATAATGTCTGCTCTTGGTGAGGTTCTTCACCGCCGGCTGCTAGGCAGCCAAGGCCCAACTGGCAAAGAAGATCCTCACTCACCTCTTGTTCCTGTAGATTCCTGCTGTGGTCTAAGCTCCACATGGCTGAGACCCAGTGAGAAAGAATCGATTTGTGTATTACTTCCGTCTGTTGAGAGTGTTGTGCTATCTTGAACTGTAGTTGCAGAATTATCTGTTCTGTGTCAGAGTCTATTTTCTGGGACAAAATACCTGAGATAAACAACTTGAAAAGAAGAAGTTTATTTTGGCTCATGATTTCAGAGGGTTTAGTCCTTGGCTTCACTGTTTTTGGCTGGAGGGGATGAACACTCTTTGCAGCTGGGACGTAGAGAAAGGAGAAGAGTTCTAGTATCACCTTCTGGAGCTGAGCTGACTTCTTCTGCCACATCCTGAAGGTTCCACATATTCCCAGTAGGCCACCGGCTGGGACCTAGCCTTCACCATGTGGGCCTTCAGTACTTGGACCCAAACTATAACAAGTTTGCTCTGCATAATTCAGAGTTCTGTTTTTTGGTGCTAACTACTTAAGGTTACTGCACATTTTTACTTTATTTACTTGTTAGTTTGCAGTACTGGGTTGAATCCAGGGACTCACACCAAGCTACATCCCCAGCCCTTTCTACTTGAACTTTCCTGACAGTCTTGCTAGGTTAGGTTCCCAGGCCAGGCTTGACTGCGAAATCAGCCTTTCAGAGTGCTGGGATTACAGGCGCGCACTGTCATGCTCTGTTCTCTAACCTTTTGTTGCCACTGTTAACTTTCTTGACTTTAAAGTACATGTAATGTATTTTAATATGATCTTTAATGTTCCCACCCTTTTTTATTTTGAAACAAGGGCTAGTTAAATTGTTGGGGGTAAGGATTAAACTTGGTGATCCTCCCACCCCATCCTCCCTGGGAGCTGGGATTACAGGCGTGCACCACACACACAGCCCCACTGCCTGGTTTTTGTTTTTGTTTTTCTTTCTTGGTTTTTTGAGTCAGGTCTCACTGTCTAGATTGGGCTGTTTTCAAATTCACTTTGTAGCCCAGCCTGGTCTTAAACTTGTGGCAGTCGTGCCTCGGCCTCCCGTGTGCTGGGATTTTAGGTGTGGACATCATGCCTGGCACTACTGTGTTTTTAAAACTGTTTGCATGGTGTATTACATTTTCCTACATTTTATTTTCAGCCACATCAGCATTACCTGATGGAATTTTTTCTTTTTTCTTTTTTTTGGTACTGGGGATCGAACTCACAGCCTCACACTTGCCAGGCAGGTGCTTGTGCTGCTGAGCTGTATCTCCCCCTATCTGATGAATTTCTTAACAGTGTGTAAGTTTTAAATTCTGTTCTGGATATTTTGTCTTTAATTGGTACAGGCAGACTGTTTAAATGTTATTTAGTTTAAGGTACTGAGGACTGAACCAGAAGTACTGAGCTGCCTCCCTACCCTTTATTTTGAGACAAAGTCTTAATGAGTTGCCCAGGATCATCTCTAACCTGTGACCCGTCTGCTACAGATTCTTGATGTGCTAATGCTGACATCCGCTGTTTAATGATTTTAGCTTGTGTTTTCTGTTTGTTAGCATTATTATTTTGGCACTTTGCTGGGCTTTCGGGTTTTCATTGTTTCCCTTCAGTTACTTCAACATCCTTGGAGTCCCATGTGATGTATCTGTGGTATTTTTTAGTGTAGCCCTTGGTGTTCTCTAGTTGTTGGGAGACATAGTACGTGAATGTGCTTATGTGGCTCACCACCCTGTAGTGACCTTAACACTGTAGCACTTTGATGTGTGAACAGGCTTCCTTTACGCCCCTAGCGTACCTGTTCCTCTATTCCCTACCACCTCGTTCCGAGCACCAGTTTGGAAGTTGCAGTTTCTGATTCAGCTGTCAAAACGTGTTCTGCAGAGTCAGGAGAAATCTGTTCACCACCACCCGCTCCACCGTCAGTGTTTCTCAAGGCACCAGGCCGTCTTCTGTGTACTTTCTTTGTTGGCTGTAGCTTTTTCTGGGCAGGTCTGCTGGGAACCCTGCTCTTTGGTCCCCTCTTACTGAAGGGTGCTTTTGTGGGCTGCAGGATCAGGGTCACATGTCTTCCCGCAGGAGACAAACGCGTCCCTTTTGTCCACCAGTCTCCAGTGAGAGGTTTGCTAGGATTTCAGTAGCATTTTGCAGGTGTAATTTCCATATGTAATTTCCATCAATCTGTGTGCAAAACGTTCTTCCTTTTTTTCCCATTCTCATTCCCAGTCTCTCTTTCCAGTCCTCTCCCCGTCACAAAGTTTGGTTTTTATTTTATCTGCTTTTTTTCATTTTCTTCTTTCCCTTCCCCCCATTTCCCTTTTCCCTTGGAACTGTTTCTTCCTATTCCATATTTATTGTACATTTATGATCTTATTTACATTTTTAGTTTCTCACATCAGAGAGATGTGGTATTTACATAACTGAGTTCCATTCCCAGCCCTTTTTTTCTTTTTTATTATAAAGCAGAGACTGGTTGAGGCACAGAGTTGTCCAGCCTGGGCTCAAACTTTTAGTCCTCCTGCCTCAGCCTCCCAGAATTCTGGGATTAAGGTGTGCACAGACGCATCTAGAATGTAGTTGTGGACTTTTTTATTGTCTTGTTTAAGAATCAGACTTCTCCAGGGGAAAAGAGCTGTATGTTTTTATCCAAAAGGTTCGCTTCCCTTTCAGTTTCAGTTCTGTGGCCCTTTTCATATACACTATTGTGTGTTTCGAATGTATTTTGTGCAGAGTATGGAATCAAGGCCAAGGAACATTTAACAATAGTTTTCCTTGTCTATAATACTCAGGTTGATAACGGTGTGTCTGTATGGGTTTCTTGTTTTTTGTTTTGGTTCCTCCTGTTTAGTTCTTGTTCCGTTTTTTTCAATTGTAGGTTTATGCCAGTCTTTTTGTTTTGTTTTGTTTTTTCTTTTTGAGACAGGGTCTCACTATGTAGTTCAGGCTGGCCTTGAGCTCACTTTGTAGACCAGGCTGGGCTCAAACTCACACAGATCCTCCTGCCTCAGTCTCCTAAGTGCTAAGATTACAGGCATGTGCCCACCATGCCCAGTTAATGTAAATTTAAAAAAAAATTTTTTTTTTGTACTCATGCCCTTGCGCTTGCCAGGCAAGCGCTTAAGCTGCTGAGCTAAATCCCTTTCTTACAGGGAGGGTTCACCCATTATTTGTTCAGAAGCTGTCCTCACCCTGACTTGTCTCCTGAGGACCTAACCTGAATGGCAGCTCCTGGGGTCACCCCAAAGATCGCCCTGGGCTCGGGTCTGTTTTCCCTTAGGTGCTTTCTCTCTGTGGTTTGTACCTATTTCTGTTGAACTTTATGGAGCTCACAGATTCTTCTTTCCTTATCTTTTCTATGTTGGGAATTTTCTTTGAGGCTTTTCAGTTTCTGAATCCTTTGCCCTTTGCCGCAGAAATGGTTTCTTGCGCTCTCGGCCAAGATGGCCTGATCTTAAGATCTTAGCTGCAGCAGGAACGCTCAGTGCTGTGTGCGCAGAGGCCCAGCCCAGCCGGCAGCTCTGCCCCAGGTTGGCCGCCTGCTCCCTGTGCTCATCCAGGGCAGGTCTCCTGCTCCTGCTCCGCATTCCCACTCTGAAAATGGTGAGAAAGTGTCCCATGCCCGTGTGCGTGCTTCTGTATGCGCCCTTTCTCCTGCCCTGAGCAGCGCTGCAGCCACTGCCCTCCTGTGCTCTCCTGGCATGCTGCTAAGTCCCGACTGTTGCCACCACATGTTCCAGACACGGTGGGTGTGCAGCGAGGCTTCCGGCAGTTTCTGTTCCTGGAGTACGCGCCATGCCGCGGTGTGCAGAGGCCCTGACCGCGCTGTGGCAGAAACGGGCTTGGCTCTGGCCGAGGCTGCAGACATCTGCATGCTGCTTCACTCAGGATCCCATCATTCTCCTGGCCGAAGGACAAAGGTGACTGAAAGGATTTTGCCCTGCGGTGGGAGACAGGGAGGCAGAACCAAGGGACTCTATCTTGAGGTCACCTTTCCCGCCCCTAGGCAATTTACCTGTGACATGAAGTGAATTCCAAAGGGCTACCTGTGCATCAGTAATGCCCCTTAGGCACCACCCCAAACCTAAGCTATATGTATGCCCCCACACCACATGTCAGGCAGAGAGAATGCCAGACCCCTGAAGTCATGGAGTCTCTTTCCACATTCTTAAAATAAAGGCCACTTTTATTTCATATTTGTTATCTTTTTAGCCCACCAAAAATTCTATCAGATGGTTCCCTGACCGGGAATCAACAGACGAGTGACTCCTAGGACCCTCCCAGTCTGAGTCCCCTCCTGGTTCACGGACTGGACTGCATACTGGATTAATTCCTCACTTCTCAACACTCGGGAGCTGCTAAACTTGTTGCTGCTGATTTTCAAACACCACCAGTGTAATTCATTTACTACAGGTGAGCCAGTGCTGTCCCAAGATTACTCTGTGGTGGGGCCAGGCTCCATGCCAGATTTTCTTCCCATTCCCTCCATGGGTAATACTGTCACGTCCCTTGGGGCAGCCCTGAAGCAGAGCTGTCCACTTGTGTCTTTTTTGGTGACGACCAGGAACTGATTACCATAGGTCTAGGAGACCACGTGATGACTTGACTTGCCTTAGGCCATGGTCTGTTGGCTCATCTGACTGTGACTCTGTGGGCCCCACGCCGGATTTTCTTATCTTGGGGACCACTTCCTGTCCCCCCAAAAAATACCTATGGAGTGCCTGGTTCAAAACCAAAAAGCTGATCTTTTATTTATAGCTTATCACACTGACAACAAGTTTACAAAAACTCTCCATCTTTAGGCCTTTGTTTTAACAATGTGTCCCTCTCTCCCTCTGCTCCTCCAGGATCCCTCCCCCTCCCCACACTTAGGAGGTGGCTTCTTTACATCTTTTCCCCTATATCTCACACACCAAACCCCACAGCCTTCTCAGTGTCCTCCTTTCCTCCCTGCTTCACCCATTTCTCAATCCCTCCCTGAGCCGTACATCTTCCCACGCCCAGATGGGGGAGGTATGCGCGGACAGCGTTGGCTGGCGGTACAAGTGGGGCATACACAGGTGTGCACCAACCAGCCTGGGCTGCGCAGGCTGCTCTGGGCTCTCATGCCATGCCCTAGCTCCGCACCCTGCCCTGAGTGATCTGCCCTCCCTGTGTACTCCGAGTGTCTCCTGAGCAGTCCCAGCCCCTGCCCCCCAGCGCAAGCGGGCTCTGAGTGGCAGCACGGAGAAAGAGACAATGGGTTGCAGTGGGGGGGGGGGCAATTCTTATTTCAAGAGATCTCAATCTACAAAAGGGTTCACACCAGCGTTATGTAATATAGTTCAAATTGGCCAAATATATTTGAGTGCACTTTGATTTTATAAGATATATCTGTTGTTTGTTCAGTCCGTTTATACTGTACAGATCATCTGTCCATGTTTGTCCATTTGCCTGCTCTGTGAACAGCTGTTCCTTCTTGTTTGAGCTCAACATTTTTTTTTCCTTTTTTACATTCTCAGACCATTTATTCAAGTTTTATTTGGGTTATAGATTTTAAAAAAACATGCTTCCACCTAGTTTGCCAGCTGGTCAATATGGTGCTAAAACTGGTTAAATAAAATATCTTGGGGTGAGGAGACAATGGACAAGACTTCAATTGATGAATGGGAAAGTGGCCACCTGGTAATTTTACCAGCTTTGTTTATCAATTAAAGCCTTCAATAATCTCCATAGCCTTATATGAGACACCTCAACTGAAGTTCATATGACTAAGACAATTCATTGTTGCTGGTCCAATGGTATATTCATGCTTTCAAATATAAAATTGGGATTGTTTCTGCTGTCTTTTTCTTATGTTCCAGCCAAGAGATACAAATCAGACCAATATGAGTAAACCAGTCAATTTTTAAACAAAAATTTATGTAATGTATGATGACAAATGTTTTCTTTCAGATCCAGATATACGCTTAGAGATGCTTCACAAATTCTTCAGCATTCAAATGTTAAAACATTCATGATTAGGGGCTGGGGATTTAGCTCAGCGGCATAAGCGCCTGCCTTGCAAGCAGGCAGTCGTGAGTTCGATCCCTGGTACCGATGAAAAGGAAAAAGACAAAAAACAAAACAACAACAACAACAAAAAAACAACACTCATGGTTGATAGCCATTTAATGTTCTATGTTAAGCTTATTGCCTACACTGCACTGTTATCAATCTCCTGGATGTTCAACAACTGAAATTAAGAGATAATTATAAATTCCTTTTGGATTCCTTTTACTGGGATCTACCAATCTTTTATAGAAAAAAAGGTTATATGATACATGCAAAACAACAAGATCAGCACTGGTGCAGAGGCCAGGCCTTGAGCCTTTCCCAGCCTGTTTGCCTACCCTGGCTCCGCCCTCTGCCGAGCCATAATTAACTATACTAAACTGGCATTAAATACACCGTAGCTGATCTCTCTCCTAAATAAAAAGGTAAAATTAATAAAACAGGCCATCCTCCAAAAATCAGATGGCATTAGACATTCTAACAGCATAAAGAGATACTAAAAATGACAAATAAATGATATGTCAGTTCCTAAAATTCCATGAACCTTATCCTCCTTATGGGAAGCCATTATTAAAGTCATGATCATAAATACCCTGTTGATTGTATTTGACTCCTGCATACTTAATTGATTCTACAGATACTTTCCACTGTGGGCCAGATCCCAAGACAAAAGGCTAAATTTGGCCCTCAAACCCCATAGGGAGACCTTCTTAATATGGCTTTTCATGTTTTCAACAACAGAGATAAAAATAATCTGATCTTTTAGCAGTGATACTTGGAGCTCTGAGACAGGTAAACCGACACAAGGTGGAGCTGCCTGAGCCCCTCATGGACCATGCTTTGAATGTAGCAGAAGGACATTGGGCAAGAGAGTGCCCCATCCTGGCGTTCCTTTGGGGCCTTACCCCAGGGCTACTGGACTGTCCTAGACACCAGAGAATAGGTAAGCCATCCTAACTTCTAGCCCTCACAGGAAATGCCAACACTGCCAGATTCATTGCTGACAGATCTGCTTGGACTTGCTGCTGAAGACTGATGGGGCTCAGGGTCCACAGCCCCCATTAAGGTATCCTTCTCAGAGTCCCAAGTCCCACTAGAGGTCTCAGGTAAGACATTCTCTATACTTGTGGACATAGAGGCCATGTGTAGGGTTCTTCCTGAGCTTTCCGGCTGCTATATTAAGTCCTCAGCCTCTATAGGGGGTATTGATGGCCATCCTATGCAGCCTGTACAGACAGGGTCTATTTCATGCAGATTCCAGAGTTGCTGCTTCTCTGGTTGATCCCACAGTTTGAGATACCTCTATTCCCACCTGCGCTGCCCATGCCATGCCTATTTTAATTCATCTCAGGATCCTTCAATTTTTCCTTGGGTTCCCCAGTATCCCATAGCTTCCAAACATTTACAGGAACTTAAACCTATAATTAAGTGCCTTTTAGACAATGGTTTTTTTAAACCTACCTGCTCACCCTATAATACTCCTGTTTTCCTGGTACTCAAGCCTGCTGGATCTTACCGTCTAGTATAAGACCTGAAGATACTCAATAGTGCTGTTACCCCAATCCACCCAGTGGTGCCAATCCCTCCCTCCACCACTCACTTTACAGTGCTAGATCTTAAAAATGCCTTTTTATTCCTTTGTGTTTATGTAGATTGACCCAGACACTCTGAGGTCTCAATAGCTTATACCTGTTATCTCTAGTAAAACTCTCCTTAGGGATACATAGCACCCCCTTCCTTTCCAATTCATCAATTTCTCAAGACACAACCCTGGTCAAGATTGACAGATAAATTTTATCTTCTTGCCTTTGTTTATACTTTTTCAGGATAAATAAAAGCCTTTCCCACAACCAGGGAAACTGCTGATATACTTACTAAAGTCCTGTTACATAAAACCATCACAAGGACTACAACCAAGGTGGAGCGGCCCATATCTGGTCTGCTTGGCAACCTCAACAGCGGTCAAAGTTGCTAGACTGCCGTCCTGGTTTCACATCACTCAGGCTAAGTGGTGCCCTCCCAGGCCTAGATCTAACCATCCTTTTGCCCACTCATCTCCACTTCATAAGGCCTCACAGCCACAACTCTCAGGCTGTCATATTTTGTTATCTAATTTGGTTCCTAATTTTTTACATTCTATTAATTGTCCTCTTTACAGCAGGACTCTCAACAGTCTTTCCTAAAGACTCCCACATCATGCATACCAGAGACAAGTCTTACCTACCTACCTTCTTAACTTTTACCCTTTCAGATGGGGGAATATCACCTCTCATAACCCCACGCTTATTTTTTGGAATTCTATCTTACCATGGCAGTGATTCTACCTCAACATGGTCCTGATAGAATGACATATCTAAATCAAAGGCACCTTTCCTCCTACCTCACCTGGGTCCTTAAATATGATAGTGGTATGCCTCCTCATGACACCTTGTCTCTTTGTTTTTCCAGTCTAACTGTGAGAGCATTCACCAGTAATAAAGTTGTTCTGGTTAAAATACCATGCACCAGCTTCTACATGGGCATCAACCGTCATCCTGTCAACCCTCCTAAACCCCATTACAGCGCCCCCTTTCAGTAGGAAGCAGTAAAAGAAAGAGAAACTTTGCCCTTTTTCCTAATAATAAAAAGATGGGAATAAAAGAATTTTGCCCTGAATGGAAAGCTGCAGCAGTGGGAGGCTGGGAGGCGGAACCAAGGGGCTCTATCTTGAGGTTACCTTTTCCCACCCCTAGGCAATTTACCTGTGGCATGAAATGAATTCTAATGGGCTCCCTGTGCATCAGTAATGCCCCTTAGGCACCATCCCAAACCTAAGCTATATGTATGCCACCACACCACATGTCTGGCAGAGAAAAAGCCACACCCCAGAGGTCATGGAGTCTCTCTCGCATTCTTAAAGGCCACTTATTTCATATTTCTTTTTAGCCATGCCAAAAATTATCTATAAGTAACCTTGCTGAAGGGAAGGGCTCTGCAGAGGAGTAGTGAGCACAGGCAGCCTCCCCAGTTGGTGCTGCAGATCCGCCTGGAGCTGGGCACACTGCACTACTTTCCACAGGGAATCCCAGTCCGGAGTTGGGGCCTGGGGCTCTAACTCTTCCTCACGTGGTTTTCACAGGACCAAGGTGCTTGTGAGCTGTGAATATTATTCCCCTCAGCAAAAATACGGATCACAATACTTGGAGAAAGTCTTCCTATACCACTGTGGTAAAGTCTCCATTTGGAGTGGAACTTGCAACAACTGTGCCGAGACTGAATCCAGGACAACTTCCTGAGGGTCTGTTGGGAAAAGGACCTTCTGCCTGTCACACATGTTCACATGGGTGCAGCAGCCCCTCGGGTCATGGAGTTCATTCCTTCCACAGTTCTGTGGAAAGGGCCATGGCCCTGTGCCTCACCCAGTACAGACTATCTACTGCCTGAAGCTGTGTGTGTACATGTGTACAGGGCGATCCCAGCGGCTCTCAGCGCTCATCTTGGGTCTGAAGACGCAGGTCTGCCAGATTGGTGTGGGTTTCCATGGTGCATCCTAACAAAATTTCTTCCTCCATTGCTGCTATTTGACATATAGCCTTCGGCTTTGATGGAGAATTGAACAGGGCGTTCATGGTGATGCCCACATTGTGATGCACAGGTGCTTAAATTAAAGAGTGTGTTACCTCACATCCGTCTGGAGTTTTTCTCCGTCGCAGTGGGAGTGGCTGGGTCCAGCTGAGAGGCCTCTTCAGCCTCCCAATGGATGCAGGGTCTGGAACCTGGAGGTGCACAGCTAGTGCTGCTCTGATTCTCTGAGGGTGGCCTTTATTGTTTCGGCTGTGGGAAGCCAGGGTACTTACCCTTACTACTGAGGTTTTTTTTATTTAAAGAAAAAAAAAGGTAGAGATATATCTTAGTTACTTTTTACTCATACCTGAAGCCCAAAGTTGGGAAAGGAAAGGTTTATTTCTTACAGTTTTTGGAGGTTTCAGTCCACACTCAGTTGGCTCCAAGGCAGGTGGGCGTGGCTGGGCCGCAGTTCATGGCGGCTATAAACAACAAGCAGGAACCAGCAAAGTGAGCAAGACACACCTTCTTCCTGCCATTACATTACATCCTGGCTCCACCCCTATGTAGGTGGAGCACTGACACCATCAATCCAAGCACTAGATAATGAACCATGCACAATGAACCAAATGCACAATGCAAACTCATGAGGTCTGGGGGCCACAATCATAAACCATGACATTCCACCCTTGGCCCCCAGGACTCATGTACATCCTTTATACAAAAGACATTTAGTCCACCTCCAAGTGTTGCCGAAGTGCTAAGTTTCAGCATTGCTAAAAAGTCCAAGTCCCAAGTTTCCTCCAAGATCTATGGTAAACTCTTAACTGTAACCCCCTGTACAAATGAAACAAGATTAAACATTTCTGAAATGCAAAGGCACAAGATAAACATTACCATTCCAAAAGTTACAAACGGGGGAATATAAAGCATTGCAAACAAAGCAAGTCCAACATCCAGCAGGATGAACATTAAGTCCTAGAGTTCCACGCTCAGCATCTGAGGCAGTCTGGTTGCACACTCCAAAAGGCTTGGGTGATTCCACCCCCACAGCACTTCCAGGGATTTCAGCTCCTGTAGCTTTCCTCTTAAATCCTCTCTGCTCACTTTTTGCGGCTTTCTTTGGATCATCCACGTTCCTGGCTTTTCTAAACTTCTGGGGTCTCCACTGCACCTTTGGCTTTGCCTTTACATCTTCACAAATTTCCCTCTGAGAGGCACACTGCTTGGCCTCCCAGGCCCTTTGCAATCAAGGTGGAAGCCATCTTATCCTCAGAATTCATGCATTTTCCTTGCACCTAAAATCAGCACCTTGTGGATGCCGTCAAGATCTGCTTCCAGCTGAAGCAGTAGCCAGGCTTTTCTCTCTCTTGGCCATAGGGGTCAGTTGCCTAGATTGCAGGGCTCTGTTTACCTGATTGTAAGGAAAAGCTTCTCTATGTTGCTGCCATTCTGGAACCTCATGTGCCCTCTGTCACCATTCTGGAACCTTTTGTGGCCTCTGTCGCCATTCTGGAGCATGGTGTTCTGCAGCCTTCTCCTCTGAGCAAATACTTTCACCTTTGCAGTGAGGCTGCAAAGGGTGGGGACCCACTTCCTGGGATGCCCCGAGGCCATCTTTCTTATCTCTCTGTTTCCCCTCAACAATCAAAATCTCAACTCTGTCTTTACAATCCACAGCCTTCCTGGAATTTTCCTTCTGGCCAAATCACAGCATTGTAAATTACCCTGCTGGGCTGTTTGCTCTTGATTTGCAACGTAAAGCTGGCTTGCCACAACCTCAATGTTCAATTGCTTTTTAATTTCTTTTTCAAGATAAATCAGTCCATTGCCCTTTGTCTCAGTCTCAGGCAAAGTCTCTGGGCAGGAGCAAAATGCAGACAAACTTTCTGCCAAGCCATAACACATCATGTGGAGTCCAACAACCAATGCAGTCCTTCCCAGCAGAAACCTCCCAAGCCTGGTCTTTACCATCAGGCTTTCTATCAGCCTTGTGGTCTCCTGAGCTCTGACCAGAATCTCCTCTACAGAACAGCCTAAGCTGCTCCAGCTCTATGCATCCAGGCAACACATCCAAACCTTTCCAAACTCTGCCCACAAGCCATTTCCAAAGGCTCTCAAAAAACATGGTCAGGTATTGTCACAGCAAACGACCCCACTCTCAGTACCAAATTCTGTTTTAGTTACTTTTTACTTATCACTGAGACAAAATACCTGAAGTCCAAAGTTGGGAAAAGAAAGGTTTATTTCACAGTTTTTGGAGGTTTCAGTCCACACTCAGTTGGCTCCAAGGCAGGCGGGTATGGCTGGGCTGCAGTTCATGGCAGCTGCAAACAGCAAGCAGGAACCAGCAAAGAAAGCAAGACACACCTTCTTCCTGCCATTACATTACATCCTGGCTCCACTCCTATGTGGGTAGAGCACTGACATCATCAATCCAAGCACTAGACAATGAACCATCACAAATGCACAATGCAAATTCATGAGGCCTGGGGGCCACAGACATAAACCATGACAAGATAATACATAATTTCAAAAAAACAGAAATCACTAGTTGATAATTACATTGTCCTCTTAGAAATAGTTTTTCAAGTTACAAAAGTCAAGCATGCAAAAAGTGGACATCAGACTGTGAGACTGCAAACAGTTCTGTTCAACTATCCAACAAAAACTTAGTAATACAGTTATCAATCCTACACACTTAAGCATACATGCAGTTATAGCCTTTAGAGCACTTTCTTTTCCTCTCTTTTTTACAATAGCAATGACACATTTTGGGTTGTATTACTCCTGCATTTCTTATTTTTATACTAGAGACACAATGATATTTATAAATATGATTCTTATTTATTTCACTAATGATGATAGCCTCAAGTTGTCTCCATTTGCCTGTGAAGGCCTTCAGATTATCCTTTTTAATAGCTGAGTAATATTCCATTGTATAAAAATATCACATCTTTTTCATCCACTCTGCAGTTGATGGGTATCTTAGTTGTTTCCAAGATTTGGCTATTACAAATTGTGCTTCTATGAACAGAGCTACACATATATCACTGTGACATGACCTTAGTTTTTCTGGGAAAATACCCAGAAGCGGAATAGCTGGGTTGAATGAAACTTTCAATCCTCATCTTCTGAGAAATCTACATACTGATTTCCATAGTGGCTGCACCAGTCTACACTCCCACCAACATTGCAGCAGTGTTCCTTTTTCCCCAAAGCCTTGCCAACATTTGTTATCAGTTGGTTTCTTGATGGCTATTCTCAATCTCAATGCTGCTTTAATTTGCATTTCTCGAATGACCAGTAATGGTGAACATTTCTTCATGTATTTATTTGCCATTTGTATATCTTCATCTGAGAACTGTGTTCCTCTCAGGTGCCCATTTGCTGCATTCTATTTGCCAGAATTTTATTGAGACTCTTGGCATCAGTGTTCATTAGTGAGATTGATCTATAGTTCTCCTTTTTGGTTGGATCTTTCTCTGGTTTTGGTATCAGAGTAATACTTGCCTCCAGGAATGATTTAGGAAAGATTGATTCTTTTTCAATTTCATTGAAAAGGTTAAGGAGTATTGGCATCAAATCTTCTCTAAATTTCTTGTAGAATTCCGATGTGAATCCATCAGGACCTGGGCTTTTCTTTATTGGTAAGATTTTAATTATGTTTTTAATTTCAATAGCTGATGTTGGACTATTCAAAATTGCTATATCTTCTTGGTTGTGCTTTGGTAGTTCATATGTTTCTAGAAATCTGTCCATCTCCTCTGTGTTTTCCACTCTATGTGTGTGGAGATTTTCAAAGAAGGTGTTCATGATCTTTTGAATTTCCATGGGATCCATAGTAATTTCCCCCTTTTCAGTTCTTATTGCATGAATTTGGGTTTTTTCTTTTTTTTTCTTTATAAGGTTAGCTAGAGGTTTGTCAATTTTGTTTATTCTCTAAAAAACCAGCTTTTTGATTCATTAATTCTTTGTATTTTTTGTTTCAATTGCATTGATTTCTGTTCTAATCTTTACAATTCCTTCTCTTCTATGAGCTTTGGGTTTAACTTGCTCTTTTTCTAGAAGCTTGAGATGAAGCATTAGGTTGTTTATTTGTTCTTGTTCTGTTTTCTTGATATGACAATTTACTGCTTCCATTGCATCCCACAGATAGCACTATGTTGTTTCTGCATTTTCATTCAATTGTAGGGATTGCTTTATTTCTTCTTTAATTTCATTGGTAGCACACTGGTTGTTCAGAAGTTTTTTATTCAAATTCCATGTATTTAAAGGTTTTGCAATTTCTTTGGTCATTAATTTCAGTGCACTATGGTCAGATGTTACACATGAGATAATTTCAATACCTTTGCACTTAAGAATGTTTTATGGGATAATATATGGTCCATTTTGGAGAATGTCCCATGCACAGCTGAGAAGAATGTGTATTCTGATGTAGTTGGGTGGAACACTCTGTAAACATCTAGTAAGTCCATTTGTTTGCAGGAATGATTCAGTTGTATTATTTCTTTGCTGACTTTTTGTCTAGTTGATCTATCAGTTTGTGACAATGGGGTATTAAGGTCCCCTGTTATAGTTGTGTTCTTGTGTATTTGGTTTTTCATGTTCATTCATATCTGTCTTATATATTTGGGTGCTCCTGTATTTGGTGCATATATATTTATAATTGTTAGTTCTTCCTCTTGAGTTTTTCCACTAATGAGTATGTAGTGACCTTCTTTATCTCTTTTAATCCTTTTAGGTTTGAAGTTCATGTTGTCTGCAAATAGAATAGCTACTTCTGCTTTTTTCTGGGTTCCTGTTGCATGGAATACTGTTTTCCATCTTTTGATTTTTAATCTGTGAGTTTCCTATTGGGTCAGATGTGTTTCTTGTATACAGCATATTGTGGGATCATGTTTCTTGATCCATTCTGTCAACCTGTTTCTTTTGATAGCTGAATTGAGCCCATTTACATTTATGGATATCACTGATATGTACTGGCTTGACTTTGCTATGTTGTGTTTCTATTGCTGGTTTCTGGCTTTTCTTCCTTGTTTAATTTCTTGCCTGGTGGTTTATTTCTGTTGTTCTAGAGATTGTGGTCATTTTTATGTCTATCTAGCAAGTCTAGTACT